GGTATGGATATGTGTACTTAATGAAGTACAAGTCCGAGACCTTTGAGAAATTCAGAGAGTATAAGAATGAGGTGGAGAAGCAGACTGGAAAGAGTATCAAAACTCTTCGATTAGATCGAGGAGGTGAGTACTTAAGTACAGAGTTTACTCAGTTCCTCAAGGACTATGGGATATTATCCCAATGGACACCTCCTTATACACCTCAGCTCAATAGTGTCTCTGGAAGGAGGAATCGTACGCTATTAGATATGGTACGGTCCATGATGAGTTTCGTTGACCTACCCATTTTATTCTAGGGATATGCCCTAGAGACCGCAGCTTACCTTCTGAACAGAGTTCCAACTAAGTCGGCAGTGTCTACACCATATGAGATATGGAAAGGGAAGAAGCCTGATCTTAAGGTTGTTAAGATTTGGGGTTGCCCTGCCCACGTTAAAAGACACAACCCCGATAAGTTAAAATCAAGGACAGAGCGATGCAAATTTGTGGGATACCCCAAGGAAACTTGTGGGTATTATTTCTATTATCTCGAGGACTAAAAGGTCTTTGTAGCTAAGAGAGCGGTGTTCCTTGAGAAGGAACACATTCTTGGCGGAGATAGTGGGAGAATGGTAGAGTTGAGCGAGATTAGAGAACCAAGCTCAAGCACCACTCTACAGCCCGAGTCTGTTCAGGTACCTAATACACAAGTTTCAACTTTACGCAGGTCTGATAGAGTATCCCATCCTCCTGAGAGATATGTGGGACATGTTAGAGGAGAGGATGCGCCCGAAGGTATTGTACCCATCGGTTGCAATTGGATCTTTAAGAAAAAGATCGGAGTAGATGGAAAGATAGAGACCTATAAAGCAAGGCTAGTGGCTAAGGGGTATCGTCAAAGGCAAGGTGTTGACTACGACGAAACCTTCTCACCCGTAGCAATGCTAAAATCCATTAGAATTCTATTGGCTATTGCAGCACACTATGATTATGAGATCTGGCAGATGGATGTAAAAACCGCATTCCTCAATAGGAACCTCGAGGATGAGGTGTATATGATGTAACCTGAGGGATTCGAGTCCAAGAACTGCCCAGATAAGGTGTGTATGTTGCTTATATCCATTTATGGACTAAAGCAAGCTTCCCGAAGTTGGAACATAAGATTTGATGAGGCAATCAGATCTTATGACTTTCTTTAAGAATGAAGATGAGCCTTGTGTGTACAGGAAGGTAAGTAGGAGTGCTATCACCTTTTTGGTGTTATATGTGGATGACATCCTCATCATTGGGAATGACGTAGGAATGCTATCCACTGTAAAGGCTTGGTTATCTAGACATTTCTCCATGAAGGACTTAGGGGAAGCATCCTATACCTTGGGGATTAGAATCTATAGAGATATATCCAAGATGATGCTTGGCTTGTCCTAGTCTAGGTACATAGAAACTATTGTCAAATGGTTTGGCATGAAAAATTTCAAGAGATGTCTCATACCGATGAGACATGGGATATCGCTTTCTATGAGTATGTCCCCAAAGACTCCAAAAGAAAGGACAAACATGGATATGATACCTTATGCCTCAGCAATAGGGTCTATCATGTATATCATGCTATGTACTAGGCCTGATATAGCGTATGCTCTAAGTGTCACGAGCAGGTATTAGGCGGATCCAAGCTTGGAGTACTGGAAAGCAGTAAAGTGTATCCTTAAGTACTTGAGAAGAACTAAGGATCTTTTACTAGTATATGGAGGTAGTAGCCTTAAGGTTGAAGGCTACACAAACTTATGTTTTCAGTCTGATGTCGATGATAGCAAGTCGAATTCAAGGTATGTGTACACCTTGAATGGAGGAACAGTGTGCTGGAAGAGTTCCAAGCAAGATACCACTGCTGACTCGACCACAGAGGCGAAGTACATTGCTACATCAGATGCAGCAAAGGAGGGAGTATGGTTGAAGAAGTTCATCACAGATTTGGGAGTCGTGCCGGGTAGTGAGGAGCTGATCTCCTTATATTGCGATAACAACGGGGCGATTACTCAAATAAGGGAACCCGGTCTCATCAGAAGTTTTCTGATGAGGTTCCAACTTATCAGAGAGATCGTAACCCGAGGAGATGTAGCAGTGGAAAGAGTTCCATCCGAAGATAACATTGCAGATCCATTGACAAAGTCGTTGTCTTAGATTGTCTTTGAGCGTCACAGGGGTCTGATGGGGATCAGACACATAGATGATTGGCTTTAGGTCAAGCGGGAGATTGCTAGTCATATGTGCCCAGCAAGCCAATCAC